TCTGTTTGAAATAAAATGTTGCTTTTATAACAATGTCATATTATTTAATACGTATAACTAGTTAATCGAAAACGGACAGCTAACATAGCTATAGAATCAGAAGTATTTGGAAGAAATATATTAAGAAATGGATAGAAAAGAAGAATTAATCTATACAGAAGTAAAAAAGAATATTTGCAAACTTAACAACGGGAGAAGATGGAATATATGCAGAGCTTAACAAATACGGTAGGGATTCACTATACAGAAAGATTTATGAACTAATCCAGAATATTTGAAGCAAAGAAATAATGCCCAAAGAATGGAAGTAGGGAATTATAGTGACAATCCCAAAACAAGGAGACCATAGAATATGCAAAAACTACCGAGCAACTAATTTACTGAATGTAACATAAAGTAATGACTGGTATAATTAGAGACAGACTAACAATATATTCAGAAATAGAGGATTACCAGTACGGTTTTAGAAAAGGAAGATCCACGATAGACGCTATACATACGCTAAAACAAGTGATAGAGAAAACATACGAGTACGACGGAGAAACACTTACTTTTATTAGACTTTAAACGGGCGTTTGAGAAACTAAACAGAGGAAAAATGATCCAAGACTTACAAGAGAGTAATATATCAAATAAAATTATAAGAATTATAGAAATTACAATGCGAGATTTCCAAGCAACAATAGACACCGGAAGAGAAAGAACAGAAATAATAAAAATAAAAAATGGAATAAGACAAGAAGATGCGCTCTCAACGGTACTATTTATTCTATCACTAGAAAAGATAATAAAAAAAACTGTCAAAACGCAGGAACTATAAACAAAAGTGCAATACAAATAATATAATATGCGGACGATATAACCATAGGCATTAAAGAAAATCTTCCAAGAAATAGAAAACAAAACTGATAGTAGTGGAAATAAATAAAAATAAAACAAAATACATTAACGTAAGCAATAGGTGCACACAGTTTCGAAGAAGAGATTGAAATATGTATTCAAATTTGGGAGTACTAGTCAACGGAAGAAATGAAAGTGTAGATATAAAAATAAGAATTCAAGCAGGAAATACAGCGTTTTATTGAAGTAAAAAAATGTTTATGAGATAAGAAAATGAGCCGAAACAAAAAAATGAAAATTTACAAAACGACCATAAGACCAATAGTAGATATGCTGCAGAAACATTTACATTAACAGCAAGAGAAGAAAAGCAATTGAAAGTTTTTGAGAAGAAGATTATCAGAAAAATACTGGGAACAAAGAGGGAAAACTTTTCATATGTTTTTTTAAGTAGTTAAAATAAGTTATTTAAGAATGCGAACTGTGAAATATGTGCTGCTATTCATTTTATTGTGAGAGGGGGAGTTTTTCATAAATTTTACCACCAGTAAAAACATGGTTATATCAATCCAAATTGAACTTCACTCAGGTGTTCTTCTAATTTGGTGTATATGCGCGAGTGAATGATAGTAAGGAGTACTTTAAGTACATAGCTTATCAAACTAATGAATCTATTTTCTTCACATTTTCTAGCGTTGGCTTTTTTAGAAAGTGGAATGAATTTTTGGTAAGTAACCAGTCTCGTAGATGTTAAATAGCTTCGTAAGAGTTGTGATTTGGTTTAATTTTCCGGGAGTTTATCTTTATAATAACTATAGATCCATTTTTCTCCTTCTTTTTTTTACTCTATATTCTCTACCACGCATTCGTACACAGTTTTGTTCATTTCTTTCCCAAGTACAAGAATCTGGTTGGTCTTTTGTGCTAAGCATTTTCTTCTCGGACAGCGTTCACTTCTTTAGGCGTCGCTTTAAATTTTTCACGTCTCGCGGTATTTACAGCTTCATCTTCAGGATCCGACGAAGTAGTTGAATGATAACTTGACTCTGATCCTTCGAAAGGTTCTTTAAATTCAATGTCGGTGTTATAGTGCCGATTTTCCGCAGCTTTACTGAGATTTTCTGTATTCAAAGTTAGATCCCTAGTGACATTCTCCACCTAAGTACTTTCCTTCATATCAACATTCATACCATTATCTTCTATATTAATACTAGCCAGGCATCTGCTTTGGGTGTCATTTTTTAAATGAAATTCTGTTTGAATAGCAGTACTCTTTGCAAATGTTTCTTAAAAAAATAATGCAGGAATGTACTTGAATGTTTTGTGAACAGCCTGATGAAGAATCAATGTGCTGGAAACTCGAGGATTCTTTTTGAAAGGTCTCATAAACTTGTTCAAAGCCTGTATTTGCTTTTTTCCAATCTTCTACATGACGGCTCTTAAGTTCTGTGACTTCCTCTTTAGAATGTGAATTTCGATCGGTAGTAGGTACTTACATTCTGATCAATATCAGGATGCGCTTTTAGATTTTCAGTGCTGATTTGACCGTTCTTCACAACAGGAAGCCCGGCTTGCCTAAAAATAAAACAAAAAAACACTTACATATTTTTTTCCAAAGAAACCTCGTAAACGATTATTGTGAATACTTGATTATATTTTGGTAGGTAAGAAAACCTCGTATAACAATTTTTTACCTTCAAAATTTACTAAAATACAGTATTTTGGAAATTCTTGTACTAACTGACAAGTTTCTGCTTTTCTTAATTGATTTATATAATTTGTTTCAACTGAAATCTAATAATTGAGTCATAATAACCTCAAATTTTTTGGAATAATAATAGTTATGTTTCTGTTTAACGTAAAAAAATGCGCCTACGTATTATTAAAACAAAGTATTAAAATGGTTTCACTTACCATAGCTTCTAATAAACAGTATTATTTTTATAAACCTATATAACTGCACAAAAATGTTCAGTATTTACCAATTTTTCAGAAATTACGTGGTTTTGTGTACAACATGCGAGATACAAGGTTTCTGTATTCGAGTGACGGAGGTGCAATTGCACATGCTTTGTGATAAATGATTTATCAATCGATGCAGCTCGATTTTCTAATATAGGCCACTCTAAAAACGCAAAACCATCGAAAATTGAGATACGGTGTTTTGACATCTAAGCGACGATTTGCTGCGTTGCCTGCTTTTTTACCGCTTTGCTTACCGATCCTTTTAAGTTTTGGGACATTATTGGCTGACCGTGGGATTCTTAGCACCCTCTCCCCACTTAAGGGGTACCCGGGACTGAGGGCCGTTTGTTTTGGATTTTCAGCTATTGTGGTGTCCTGGGGATATCCTTACGGATCTTGTGGTAGTCATCCCATGGCTTTCCGCATCTCAATGCCGTTGGCTCTTCCGCATTTGGAGTAAATTTCTCAGCTCCAGGGCAATGAAGTGCCCTACCACATGTCAGTTCTTCCATCTGTAGCTGTTGACCAACAAACGGGAGATTACTTTTACCGGTAATCGTTCGGTCACTTCGCAGTATCACAACTGGTTAAATCATAATTACCGCCTCTGATTATTCAGTATCAGACCGGTAAAGAGATTTTTCTCTACCGCTCCGATCCTGTAATGACATAGCTACTGCCCCACGCCATGCTCTCAGTTGATCCGCTGGTGTTTATTTGGCAAAGCCTTATTCACACTTGTCCCACATATCTGTAGGGCGTTCCCTATCAGCCATTGGGACACGCCGTGTTGAGGTTGAGAACAACCCCCCTTCGAGTGTGTTTCCCAAGAAGTACCTACTGAAAAGCCCCTACTCAATTCAGAATCCCTCCTTCTTGGAAACTACACCGGCACGGCTGCATACCATAGCTATTTTTTATTCATTTTTTTAGGAATAGAAAAAATCTAATTAAAACAATATTAACAATATATTTCTTATATTTACAATCATTTACACAGCTCGTTCACCTAGCCCTACAGAAATAGTAAGAAAAATAAATGCGTAAAAACAATTTTAATCTTATTTGATATATCTAGCCATCCATGAAATTGCAAAATAATGTGATTATTGTCATATTTTGTTAAATGGATTTTGAAAACATGTATGATATAGAAAAATGGTCTAAAACCCATAATCTTAGATAAAAGAGGGTTGCCGGGTTGCTATATTCTACCGTCGTCAACGGTGATAGAAGCTTGATACTGTCTGAAGTCACTGAGCTGGTCAACTGGCTTATATTTAAGTAACAGGTAGATTCCAGTTGTTTAAGAAATATATTTGCCTTTTTGTCATCAGTGCTTACCCAATGTTCGTTACTAGTTTTGATAGGTGATCAATGTTGTTGTGGTCGTAACAATCTTCTGGCAGCCTTCCAAAAGCGTAATCTGTTGCTTCTAATTAGGTTTACTGTCTCGGGTATCTTGCAGTTGATGTATTTTTTAGGTCATAGCATTTTTTCAGGTCTTTTGCTACTTTGTTAAATACAGCTTCATTATTCGGTGTTTTGTCATGTCTTTCTAAATTTTCTCTTTTCTCAAATTAATTGTTTAATGGCCTCAGGATAGAACTCCTTGTTGGGTTTATTGTTGAGTGGTGGGATGGATTTCCACCTGCTTTCTATATACATGTAGTGAGATGATCCATAGCAGTGTCCAGGTTACTTTCTGTCTTTAGAAATAAGTTTATGTTTCAGTTATTAGTAAGGGTTTTTTTTATAAATTCAAATGAGTCAATCAAGTAGTAACTTTTACCGGTAAAGTGCGTTTCGGAAATAAGCATTATATCAATAAAAAATATTGACTTTTATTTCCTGAAACCATTATCAGTCAAGAAACTGAACTTATTGTCAAGATTTTTGTGATCCGTTAACCCTCTTTTATCGAAGATTCGTGGCCTAAAATAGGTCTCAATCTTGAAGAATGTCAATCAAAACCTTCAAAAAAATTGCAAGAATAATATAATAGTATCCTATTAAGATAGTGCCAAGATCGAGACCATTTAAGATATAATATTTCAATCGATATCATTGTTTCATTATGCTAATTCTATACATATCAAAATAAATTTTTAATAACCCTACAATGAATATTATACAAAATTGAATATTTTCGTTTGATAAATGTAAATTTCTCATATCAAATTGACTTTTTATTTCGAATAAAACAAACAAGTTACTTAAATAAAATTAGAAAATCAAAGTTTCAAGAAAATCGTACAACATGTTTAATACTTGATAAAAAACAAGGAACGTCAAAAAATATAATAAAAATATTTTAAAATATCATATGATTACGGAAATATTCGGAATATTACCATCGCAACAATAATAAAAATATTAAAATTATTGAGTGACAACAAAATATACTATAATTTCAAACATACTATTATAGAATTGTTTCCAGAATTATCTATTCTCACATATTATTACAAAAACCTAAATCATGCCGGGATCCTTTCGGTTAACAGATTCCAAGCTTTTATCACTTGCTGTTTGGTATATTCCACAGGCCACAGTGTGCAAAATACTACATTAGAAGACTGAACATAAAATTTATTTGAAGGTTGAGAGTCTATTCTGCTTGTAGCTTGCTCTTCTGTAAGTCCATTCCGTGTTTCTAACCTGGAGATGGCTTCTGCTCTTGGTATTACAGTAGTCCATACCTTAAACAGTTTAAAGAAAGAAGATATATCAAGCAATAGGAAACAATAGGAGGCTGCAAATTAACATTTAAATACCGTAGAGAAAGAAGATATATCAAGCAATCGAAAAAAAAAAACGTAATTACAGCAGGCTGCAAGTTAACATTTAAATAACGTAGGTCGGCAGCTAAGTCATCCATAAAACTTCACCTACTGACATGCAAGCATCGAATTAGAATCTATGGAGAGGGCATCACGTGACTAAAAACGACCTCACTTCAGCCATATCGTTAAGATTGTTTTGACACTTTTGACAGATCGTATATGTTTGTTTATGTTTCTTGTTTTTCGAATATTTTTAGTTTTATAATAATTTTATAGAAACTGTAATAATATATTGTGATAGTGCATAATAATGGTTTCTGGTTCTCAACGCAGTTGCAGCAGCAGAAGCAATGTTAATAAAAAATCTTCAGGAATAACGTTCTACTGGTTAGTATACAAATATGTAAACAAAGTAATGGCACCTACTTTATAGAATAAATTAATAGGGTTTTTAGTGTTTACCGCGGGATAAATAAATCATAGTTTATTAAAAATGTATTGCACTTTTTTAGATTATGATTATATCTTCTGAATAACTAGTCATATTTTATAGTAGTTTTAATATTATTGAGTCCGGCCATGATCCCACCGCCATATTGGTATCATCGTTAGCTACGCCTACCTACGCCGTTTTTACACACGTTAATATGCTCATAGCTTCTCCATAGATTCTAACTCGATGCATGGAAGTTATGAATTGACATTGACAATTTAAATTTTATAAGTAAGCATATGCACAGTAGGATTGATTTGTGGTGGAGGACGCATGCGTCGAGTTTTTTGAGAAAATTTTGAATCTAAGTAATCTAATCGGTGGAAATTAAGTATTTTCATTTTCAATCAAGTAATTGAAATTAAAATAAAGTTATTTAGTTTTTGAACAATATAGTTTAGTTAATAGTGAGTAAAAAAATCCTATGCACTTTATTGTAAGTTTGTTTTTACATTATACTTTATAAGAGGCAGTAGATCGTAAGGCATGAATGTCAATACTCCTGGCCCCCTGATAATGGGGGCGGGATTGCTTTGCTTTCATTGGAATCCCAAAACTTTTTAAAATCTACTCACATGTTAGCTCCTAGACGTAAACAAAATATTAATCAAATTGAAGAGGAACTTTTTAAATTGAAAAATAGATTTCAACATGATCAGATTACGTTAACAGAAGTAAATAATTTATCCTCTAGGATTGAAAATATCAGTCGGAGAAAAGTTGAATATAAAGACACTGACTTCAGTCCCTTTCTTGTATGATAGAGAGTGACAAAGGAAAAGCCCGTAAAATCCCATCCTATGGATATTGGTAAAATTTTTCATGTAATGGGTAAAACTGGTATCAAAGATATCAGAGAAAAGGTATAAATAAAATCGGAGTTCAGTTTAATACATAAATACATCCAAACAGGATGGAGAGAACTGGGGGAGACCTATATCCAACAATGGAAGGATAGAGAATAAATTCAAAAAAAAAACATCCAAACAAGCAAACACTATCCTAAATGATATAGAATTACTTAAAAAAGGTTTTATAGCCTATATTCCTCAAAAAATGTTAACACCAAGAGGCATAATTCGAGGTATCAGTTTGAATATTTCTATGGAAAATTTAATTGAAGACTCTATATATCAAAATGGGAAAATTATTTCTGCCAGAAGACTAAACAGACGGGTTGTAAGTACAGATGGGTCTGTAACATATATTCCAACACGTACAACTACTTTTCGATGGAAGAATTCCTCCAAAAGTAATCATCATTTATTCGAGTAACAGCAATGTTTCAAATGCTTGAGATTTGGTCATTCTCAAAGACAATGCAGGGGAAAAGTAAGATGTCCTAAATGTGCTGAGGAACATACACTGTTTCTTTACATGAGATTGCACGGTTTGCGTTCCAAAATGCCTTTATTACAATCTTGAACACCTCTCAATTAATAAGGTATGTAAATAATTTGAAAGACAGAAAAATGTCAATGAGGTAATGGTCTTTCAAGACCTTACAGTTTTTGAAGCCGCCAAGTTGTTCCCTCCACTAAAAGAAAAGCCAGAGAATACTAGAATATTTCAAATGAGAAACAGGGATTTTACTTCTTTTCCAGCAAGTCCTAGAGCATTTACCCAAGTTGTCTAAAAACCTCCTTCCTCTGCTTCCCATTATTCAAACCAAACTCATGCCCCAGTTAAAAGAAAAAATAAGATTATTCTGAAAGACACCAGTTATGATAGGGAGGCTCATAAAGCCTTATTAAATGAGGACCTAAGTAGAAAATTACTTAAATTGCCAATACTAAATCAATTAAACGATTTACAAAAGCATATGGGATCACAGGGTCCAAATTTTACTCTTTCATTACCAAGTTATCCGGTATACTCTCAGGATAGCTTGTATTCAAAAAATATTGTTTTAACCTCTGATAGTGAAAATAGGAAGTTTGCCGGTTTTGAGGATTCACAAAGTAAATTTAAGTTCAATAAAAGTATTTTTGGTTAAGTGATACTTCATTTCTTATTTATAAAATCAATAATATCTTATATATATGTATATATATATATATATATATATATATATATATATATATATATATATATATATAACATTTACAATTAAGAAAAAAAAATAATAGTAATAATAAATATAAATTAGTTATGACATTTAATATTTGGTTTTTTTAACAATAAACAGGATCTAACTGTATTTCTTAAAGAATTTAATATTAATATCATTCTTCTAAATGAAACTCATTTGAAATTTTCACAACAGTTGTATATTCCTAATTTTTACTGCTTTAGAAATGATGGGATTGATGGATGGGGTGGAACAGCTATTCTTATACATCAGTCTTTGGCAGCTGGATATTTCACACATTTACTTGCTGAGAAATGGCAAGCTATTGTTAGATTTGAACAATTTTTAATTATAGGCTCATACAAGTCACCAGATATACGTTTCCGCAAGGAGATCTTTAGAGAATTTGTCCAAATGTGTGATAAACCTTTCTTCTTCATAGGTGAGTTGAATTGTCAACATTATTCATGTGGATCATCATCTAACAATACGAATGGTAATCATCTTGCTGATCTTTTGGAGGAAGATAACTTATGCTTTCTCAACACAGGAGAAGCGACAAGAATTTCACCTCCTGATTCTAACAGTGTTCCTGACGTGGCAATAGCTTCTCCAGGTTTAGCTGCGGACTGTCTTTGGGAAGTCTTTCCAGATATAGGAGCTAACGATAACTTTCCATTTGTTGTGTGTTATGGGCAAGATAGATTCAACACCCAAATAAATAACCCTCTTCAAGGTCTCAGTATCTTTAATGCGAAAAAAGCCAAGTGGGAGCAATTTAATCTATACATTGAGTCTAATATTCACAATATTTCTGATCACTCATACACAGATTTTCAGAACCTGTTATTAGATGCAGCAAATAGGTTCATCCCTAAGAGAAAGCGCTTTAGATTTTCTAAACCTCAAATACCTTGGTGGTATGAAGAGTGTTCTGCTTTGATTAAATCAAAGAGGAAAGCAGTGAGGAAGTTTACACAGGAACCATCTTTAGACAACTTTATTGATTTTAAAAAGATTAGGGCTCATTGTACAAAGGAACTTAAGTCCAAAAAAAATCATTTGCCATGTTTTGCTCCACAATCTCTCCTGATACCCCAATATCAGTAATGTGGAGGAAAGTGAGAAATTTCCATAGGGCCTTCTCTAAAGTTTCAGTCAGAACTCCCAGCAATTCTTCATTAGGGGAAGAAATGCTTATCTCATTGACTCCACCTGTTTTTGAGAATGTTACATTTCATCCAGTGAAATCTAATGCTATCGAGTGTAAGCTAAATAAATACTTATAAATTTAAAAAACAATATCGTTTACTATTTAATCTACCTTGCAATAAAAGTACTAGTTTAATGCCATAAGTTTTTTACCTGTGGCTAAGCACAATCCTGGCATTTGTCAGATTCGTCAATAATTACATGAACTAATTATCAAAACATCCAATACATTATATGACGTTATAATTAATAACGCATTGAAAGAAGGCTGAGAAGAACCATATCACGGGCACAGAATAAATAACAATCAGGATGCCCACTCTGTTTGTCAAGATAAGTACGCGCATCTCGTTCGCGTAGGCGGAATCGGGCATGTTTTAAACGGAACCAGTGCTGTTCAGTGAAATTTTATCTAGTGTGCATATAAAATTAACCCGGTAATAATTTTTTAGCTTCTCAGAGGCCATAGAACCTCTTAAATGTAAAAAAGGAAGCTTTTTTCCACTTTATTTTTTTCTGGCCGCAATTTTGCTTTAAAAAATTCATGAAAATGTATCTTTTCAATACAAAATAGTCTGATTTTTTCAAATTTTTATATTGAAAATTGAGCCTAGGAAAAATCATTTTTTTTCGCAAAAACGAAAAAAAAAATACATTAAAAATTACCATTTAAAAGTTAGCCAAAAATTATTAACATAACCTAAGAAATTATTGAAAATTTCAATGACTTTTCCTAGGCTAGGTTCTGTGACCTCTGGGAAGTTAAAAATTTGTATGAAGTCATGTTTTTATACGCTTTATCGAAAGCACAGATCGCGCTGCTGATCGGTGCGAGGGCACTTTTGACCGTCTTATCCCGCTAGGTATAGCCTTTCAAATATTGTTTACATTTTGTTTGCTCCCTTATCTGTTTCACCTAACGGACAACATGCGCTCTAAACTTTAAAAAATCGGCTTCACTTAATTACCCCCAATTCTACATCTAGTTTATTATTACTATATCTATGATGTAAACATACAGCTGAAAATATTATTGAAACTGTTTAATATCAAAATCTAAAAACATTCACTTCAGTAGTAGCCTAACAAACAAATTTGTTACATATGGCAAATGCTAAATTCCAATGAATATGGTGTCAATGGTCATACATAATCTAATTATGTATTCAAACATAATCTAATTAATAAAGATATCCAATAAATGCAGTGATAATAAAACTAGATCACAGAATAAGAAAGTAATTGTTGTTCTGTGACTAGATGTAGTAATGGGGGAAAATAAGAGAAGCCGATTTCTTAAAGTTTGTGCGCGTGTTGTCCGCTAGGTAAAACAAATAAGGGGGCAAAATGTAACCCATGTCTAAAATATCACTTGTTTCCTGTTATATATCACTTGTTTCCTGTGATATTTACATGGAATTTTGTGAGAGTGGTTTTTTTTTTAATTTAAAATAAGATAATCTCTTGGCCGAAAAATAATATTATTTATATAAGTGTATTTTTTAAATCACGAAATACATGAAAATAGGTCCGCAACCACAAATACGACGGCCACTTGTTATAGAAAACGACGTCATCGAAGCAGTTAACGAATTTGTATACCTGGGAACGCTCGTCAATACTGAAAATGACATTACCGCAGAGATAAACCGCAGAATTTGCACGGCTAATAGATGCTATTTTGGGATTAATCTCCTTTTTAAATCTACAGCTATATCAAGAAACACAAAAGTGAAACTCTACAAAAGAATTATACGCCCAGTCCTAACATATGGTTCAGAAACCTGGACTTTAACAAAAAGCAATGAAAACATGTTAGGATGTTTCAAAAGAAAAATACTGAGGCGAATCTATGGAGCGGTAAATGAAAATGGTATCTGGAGAAGACGATACAACTTCGAACTCTATAGAATATACCAGGAACCAGATATCGTAAAACACATTAAGATAGGACGTCTGAGGTGGGTAGGCCATGTAATGCGGATGGAGCAAACCGACCCAGCTAGAAAAATGCTCCTTGATAGATCCATTGGTCAAAGAAGAAGAGGAAGACCCAGAACAAGATTCCTAGATAACATAGACCAAGATATGAGAAATATGGAAATACGTGCTTGGCGGAGGAAGGCCCTGGATAGGGACGACTGGAAAAGAATTCTTGGGGAGGCTAGGACCCACACAGGGTTGTAAAGCCAAAATGATGATGATGATGATGATGTATTTTTAAATCATAATTAGATAAGACCTAGTTTTTGTAATATATTTATATTGGTTAATCTTTGGGTTTGTGGATTTCAATAATTGTATAAAAATGATATGATTATGCAGTGCATTGGTTTGTTCAAGAAATTCCAAGACAAAACATGTATTTTGGTTATTATCAAAGCCTATTAATTTAAACTCTGCCTATCATCTTCAATATTATGAATTGAAATGACATCCTATCACCTTGAATGTTTCAATCACCTTATTTTGGTAGATGAGAAAACTAAATTTAAGGATTGTATCCTTTTTTATATGTGTCGATTTATTATTAGGAAAACTGTTCTCAAACTGAAGTTTTTAGATTGTATTCAATGTTTATTTAAATCACAATCTGATCATTGTTATGCTTCTGTTGGAAATTTAGCAGATTAGTAAATTTAAAAAATAATGGTTAGTGATTACCACATCACACTTTTCAGGTTGTGAAAAACACAGAAAATGGATTGTTCGTGGCAACTGGCGACTTCATAAAAATGTTTTGTGTGTAAATGCTAAGATAGTCAATAACATCGTTCTGTATGTAGTAAATAACCTTGCTTCAGGCAAAGTACAGAAGTAGTATGCTTCAGTTGTCACCACATCGAGCTCATGAATACATTAGGAGATGCTTAGCCATGAATATATTACTGTTACATTCTATGCACTGGGAAAACACAGGACAGAAAAAGTAAATGTATCTTATTCAGTCATTCTTGAACTTTTGTATAAAAAACATAAATTGTTGTTCAATTACCAATTAAAATTAACAATTATTTTTTATTCTTTTTCTTAAAATGTCTCAATCATGCGTGTGAAAAATAAAACAATAGATGGTTGGATATACTACATACTTTGTCAGTGCTTGTTAATGTAATTACGTACATAGGTATATACACAGAGATTAATTAAATAAAAACTTTCAGTCATGGGACAAAATAGAGAAGAAAAGTTCATAAAAGGCAATCAATCAAGACGTAAGTGTTATATTAAACTCGCTGGATAGCTATCTTTTTTGTAATTGTTTTGGAATAAAACAATTGGTTTGCTTGCTTACAAGTTCAAGTTGATAAAGCAAGTCTCAAACTTGCTCAGATTCTAAAAAAGAATTCATTCAAATTTACCAGACAGAAGATAAATATGAGGTTTAACCTTAAACAACCTTTAAAGTTTCATTACATTTCTGGAAAATAAACCACCTTAATATCATAAAAGAATTCAGAAGGACTTTAATGTGTTTTATATTTTAGAATTGTCTGTAAATTGGTATTATTTATGTAATAGGTTATTTATGTTCAACATATTATACATAATTGATTATGTGGAACTATCTAAATTCCTAACCACAGGAATTTATAATGCATATTCTACCCTAATAATGATTTTTTCAATAGTTCTATATACCTATTATTAAACCTTGTTTTTACATACCTCATGACACATATTTTGCCAGCCAGCTGTTAGTAATACAGCACCTTCTACAACAATAACTTTTGCTTTGCTAATGCCAATTATTGTTTGAACCTCTTCTGCAATGGCTGGCCAAACTAGTTCATTCAGTGTGTTTAATTCATCCTAAAAGATAATTATGGATTCTAAAGTTCATTTTTATGAGAATCCATGGCATACTATACCTTATTAGTAAAAACTATGCCACCTAGAACTTTTCTATCAATCTCTCCATTTTCTGCAACAACTTTCTTTCCAAAATGGCCTACAATTTTTTTGTAGCAAGGTTTGCCTGTTTTGTACAACTCATGTGCTATCAGATCGCAATTTATAATTTGAGCACCCAGGTTTTCCATATGAGTTGCCACTCCTGACTTTCCACTAGCAACTCCACCTGAAAAATAACATATGAGAATATCCTTAAAAACAAAGATTTTTTCCTGACTAACCTACAAGAATGTGTTGCATATTATACTTTTATAACTCTAAGATTGACATACACTATGGTGATGATTATTTTCCAAAATGATTTGACATTTTGGTGTTTTGTTGGTGATTCTTATTACCTGTTAATCCAATAACATAAGGTGACTTTGGAATAGCTTTTTGTTCTACAGGTTTCAGAAGTGTACCCAATAACCTTATTCTAGTTGTGCTTGAACTAATTTTAGCCTCTTCTATGGGGCTAGGGTTTGGTTCATCCATCAATTCAATTGGAAGGATGTCTAACAATGGTAAATTCCTTTCTTTCCTTACTAAAACAGAAAAACACATAGAATTATAGATGATATAAAGTCAAAAAATTCATACTTGTGTTTATCTTTTCTCCGCCCCTTACAGTTTCTTTACTGACAACTATAAGCTCCATTGAAGGGTCTACTATTGAAGGACCAAAAGGATCTGATATTGGAACTATATCATATTCCATTTCAGGGCAAATATCTTCTAAAAAGTCTTTCACATGCTTTATTCTCACGTCAATGTCTTCTATTAGCTCCCATAAGGTCTTTGTTGAAAGCATATTCTCTTCTGTTACACCAATCTAAAACATTTGAAGAATAGTAGAATGCAAACTACTTAGGAAAAAAAAAGAAAAAAATGAAGCTTATGCAAAAATGCTTACCCGCCGGACTAGAATAAGTGTAGAGAATTACCAGACAAAGAGAGTGGAAGAAAAAAAAAATACACAGAATAAATAAACGAAACCACTTAAAAAAGGAACTTCAATATATAGAAAACCTCAACAGAGAGAAATAATTCAGAACATTCTATAAAACAGTTAACATTAACAGAAAAGAATTCAAGGTAAACACAAATCAATGTAGAAGTTTGAATGGCGATCTATTAACAACAAGAACAGACGTACTAAATCGATGGACGGAATATTTTAACCAGATACTTAATATAGAGGAAGAAGAAGAAAACCCGGAAGACGAAAGCTGTGAGGTAAGCGAAGCAGACGAGAGGGAGGAGAATCCACCAACGATCTTGGAAGTTAAAGACGCTGTAAACAAACTAGCCAGAAACAAATCACCCGGAATAGATAATCTTCCAGCGGAATTATATAAAGAAGGTGGCCACGATATCATAATAGCGCTACAGAAGCTTATAAAAGAAATATGGATACAGAAGTCCCTCCCCAGTGATTGGAATATTGGAATACTTTGCACCATACACAAAAAGGGAGATATCTTTGAATGCTCTAACTATCGAGGAATCACGCTCCTAAATGCAGCGAATAAAATATTCTAAAATATACTATGCCATCGTATGGCACCGTATGCAGAGCAAATAATAGGACAATACCAGGCTGGTTTCAGAGGTGGTAAATCAACAATTTCTCAGATTTCAACCCTGACACACATTCTAGAGAAAACACTGGAATACGGTGTAGACACGCACCACATATTTATAGACTACAAGGCAGCCTACGACTCTGTAAATAGAAGAGAATTGTTTAGAGCAATGATAGACCTGGGAGTACCAAATCAGTTGGTACCAAACTAACCCTTAAAAAAGTTGAATGCAGAGTATGAATCCAGGGGTAACTCTCTGAACCTTTTAATACTAATAACGGGCTACGTCAGGGAGACCCACTCTCCTGTATACTATTCAATCTAGCTCTGAAAAAAGTAATACGTACGTCACAAATCACAACTACCGGTTCAATATATAACAAATCTGTGCAAATCCTAGCATATGCTGATGATATCAATATTGTTGGGAGAACGAAAAACGCAACAATAGAGGCGTATGTAGCACTAAAGGAAGCGGCTACAAAAGTGGGTTTAATAATAAACATTAATAAAACGAAATACATGAAAATAGGTCCGCAACCACAAATACGACGGTCACTTGTTATAGAAAACGACGTCATCGAAGCAGTTAACGAATTTGTATACCTGGGAACGCTCGTCAATACTGAAAATGACATTACCGCAGAGATAAACCGCAGAATTTTCACGGCTAATAGATGCTATTTTGGGCTTAATCTCCTTTTTAAATCTACAGTTAAATACAAAAGTAAAACTCTACAAAACAATAATACGCCCAGTCCTAACATATGGTTCAGAAACCTGGACTTTAACAAAAAGCAATGAAAACATGTTAGGATGTTTCGAAAGAAAAATACTGAGGCGAATCTATGGAGCGGTAAATGAAAATGGTGTCTGGAGAAGACGATACAACTTCGAACTCTATAGAATATACCAGGAACCAGATATCGTAAAACACATTAAGATAGGACGTATGAGGTGGGTAGGCCATGTAATGCGGATGGAGCAAACCGACCCAGCTAGAAAAACGCTCCTTGATAGACCTATTGGTCAAAGAAGAAGAGGAAGACCCAGAACAAGATTCCTAGATAACATAGACCAAGATATGAGAAATATGGAAATACGTGCTTGGCGGAGGAAGGCGATGGATAGGGACGACTGGAAGAGAATTCTTGGGGAGGCTAGGATCCACACAGGGTTGTAAAGCCAAAATGATGATGATGATAATGAAACTACTTAGTGCAAATTATGATTTGTTGGAAAGAATCAAACACTAAAAACATGGACATCAAAATGAAAGATAAAGTTGTAGTAGAATTTGATAGAAACAGTGATAATTTGCAATACATTTTGTATTTTGTAATGCGTTATTTTGAAAGGCAGAGGTATAAATTTTATTATTGAAAACAGTTCTGGAAATCTGGAAAAACCTTAATAAAGACATTTGAGAATAAAGAGAGCTGGTGATATTCAAATGAAATCTAATAAAAAAAGAAGAGACTATATGATAACACAAAATACTTAATGGTAGAGATGTAATGTGTTTCATAAAAAGAGGAAAGCTTAGATGGGCTGGATATATGTTGAGATTAAATGGAAATGACACGAGGAAGATCAGTGCAGCAAACTAACAACTGTTGGCAATAAACAAAAACGACTGGTGAAATAGATTGGGAAATATCGAGGCTCAACTAAGGCAGTAGCACCACTGATGATGATGATATAAAAACACAGGAAAATAGGTCTGACAAAAATCTCCAAAATTAGATGATTAACAAAAGAAACTGAAATTAGCTACAGTAAAATTAATTGGAGAAGCCTATAAAAATATATAACACCAAAGTTAAAAATAAAATAAAAGAACCAATGATAGAGCAAAGAAATCAAAAGATTGTATAGACGTTTTCATCTTTCTTGGCGTGTGCGTGTAAAAACACTTGCAATAAGTTGTTTCATCTGTCTTTCCTTGTCTAAGCTCGATTAGTTTACCTCCTCCAGTGGCAGCTATCTGTATTCGTAAAGAGGCCGAACTTATCACCGACACCGTATCGGCCAAACGCATCGGTGTTATTGCTACAATACTGGGAGACGTGAGTGGTCTCTTGATTCCCTTCTCATCGCACTTTACCATGACAAACGTGACTCGCACAATTGAATTACGCATCTGTGTATCAGAGAGAGACGAATATTAAAAATTCCGTAGTAGCTTATTTCAGGCACACACCAAGAACGATGAAACCGAGTTTATTAAGATTATACACTGTGTGTCAGCCAAATGGAATAAATTAGCTAATACATAAATGAGGTAGTATTCGAAAAAATGGCCAAACATGTCAATTAGTATTTAAAGTTGCTCTTTTTTTTTTTTTCATAATAACTTTTTATTTGGGTGTATCAGATAATGGTGGCCAATAGCAAGTGCTTATTTTAAATAGATCACCCTGTATATTAATTAATTTTTAGATTCCTCAGATCATTTTATGACATTTTTTTGAATACAATGTTCTATACCGATCTTTAACTGTTTTAGAAATATTAAGTAAAATGCAAAAATTCACAGTTAGAAGAGAAAATTATCTGTTTGTCGAAAGTCGCTACAATATATTCAAAAACTTCTAAATAATACAAATCTAAACAATAATGCCAATGTAGATGTTCAAAATACTCCCCATGAACGTCTTATCAACACCCTAACCGTTAATAGAAATTTCTTCAAACATTACTCAACATCTCAGATGTGATTGATCTAATAGCAAACGTTATTCATCTTCGTAAGTGAGCTAAGTCAGTGGCTTTAGTTTTGTATACTTTTTACATATCCCCATAAGAAAAAGTCTAATGGCGTCAAATCGAAGAAACGTGTTGGCCATTCCATCATTCCTCACCTCACTATCTACTGATTTGGAAATATTTGGTTGAGGTAAAAGTTCAAGAAAATATTTTGTTGAAACCATATCATATTTGCTGGAACTTATGAGTTTCCAAGATCAGAATACAAGTTGATCTACTATGATATACTATGATCTGATCTTCAATCATTTCTGCCCACATGTTAACCTTAGGATATTGAGTATTGCCTTCTCTCATCCAGTTAGGATTTTCCCAGGATCAATAGCGGCAATTTTAAAGATTAGCATGACCGTGAAGAATAAAGGTGCACTCATCAGAAAACAAAACATGTTCTAATTGGATCACATTGCTGTCTAACATTGCCATCATTTGTTCACAAAAATATGTTCTCCTGCCAAAATCATCTTCCATGAGTTCCTGAGTATGTATAATTTTATAGGAATGCATTTTGTTTTCTTGTAATATTTGAATAATCGATGAATATTACAAGACCGATGAATATGACCAATGATGAATATTAACCAGTGAATATTAAAACCTAATATCGACTACTGGGGCTGCTTTTTGAACAGATCTATGTGGGTGTTCCTCAAACTCAAGCATAACAGCCAATTTGGTTTTATTTCCTAAGGTCGCTTACCTTGTCCCTTGAGATATGTGCGGCAAATCAGAAAATGCTTCGTGAAATAAACAAGCTACTTCCATTTGCATCCGTGTCTTATCTCCATCTGTATAATTGTAATTTTTGTGCATATCTGTTAAATAAACCATTTTTCTGGCTTGTAGTTAATGAAATCCAAATGACTGTAGCACTGATAACTACTTCTGTCATGGAGCAATAAAACATTGGCGTTTTAAACCAAAGTAAACATTTTTTTTAACATATCAGTAAAAAGAAATGCTTAAATAGTTTTTGCTTATTTTTATCATTACCAAGACTTAAATGAGCAAGAAGTATTAAGACAGTTAAATAATTTTCTTTTCTAAATGTGAATTTTTGCATTTTACTTAATATTTCTGAAACAGTAAAAGATAGGTATATGACATTGTATCCAAAAAATGTCTAAAATGATCTGAGGAATCTAAAAATTAATTAATGTATAGGATGTTCTATTTAAAATAAGCTAGTTGGTATTGGCCACTGTTATCTGATACACCCTGTATAAAAAGTTTTTATGGAAAAAAATGCACAACCATAAATACTAATAAATGTGTTCCACCGTTTTTTCGAATACTCTCTCATTTATTTATTATCTAATTTATTCCATTTGGCTGACACATAGTGTATGTAAAACAAACTAAAAGAATGAGATACTCCTACAAAAGAGTGTAAAATCTATTAGGGAAATACTTTATGAGCTTATTAAACAAAGAGGGAGATAAACCTAATCAAAACATGGCGGACAGTAATGGCAAATGTGACCAAAATAAAAAACAAAGAATTTAATCAAGTGCTGCAAATAATAAACAAAGTATAATCAGTTTGACCAGATCATATTCAAGGAGTAATATGGACAGTGCTATGACAGATGAATGGAATAACAGTATCTGTATGTAAGGAGAAACAGATATTCAACAATGTACAAACTATAGTGCCATCAAAATACTTAGTTACAGTACTCAAGTACCTGTGAACAAACTCAAGGATATATTCAACAATTTACAAATTATAGGGTCATATAAGTGCTTATATGTCAAGAAATTATGAGAGACAGTAACTGATGTGAACAGTAACTGAACAAATATGTGAAAAATGTAAAAATTCATATAGAAAAATCAGTTTACACTGATGTTGGGCAAATCAAAGTTTTTATTCTTAGATCAGCAGAAGTAAGTACAATAGAAAAAAACTTTTCATGTAAGCAATAACCATGTACAAAATGGTTAAAAAATCATGCGAATAGGTATGATTAAATTTTTGATAGGTAAAATAAGAAAATAAGAATATTTAATAAAAAAACTATATATGTGAAAAAAGTATGTTGCTTATGTTGATAAATTATACAAATAATTATTATAAACATTTTCTTACTGTAACTTGTTTACTGGAACTTAAAACCACTTCGCTAAGCAACAACTTATGTGCTGTATGTAATCTATCAAATGTTCCACCTAGTACTGAATGTTTGTATATCTTATCACTAAATGGAGTGTTGTTTTCCACATTTACTTCTTCATTAGACTCTAGTGTGATAACATTATATTCTTTTGTAAGATTTTCAATTCTAGTTGTTATGAATTGGTCTATTTCCGCCTTTGTGTATTTCTTATCAAAAATAACTAAATCTATTGGATTTTGTGTATGAATTTTAGGTACATTAAACTTTATTCCTGAAAGAAGAACTCTTACATCCAAGTCACTGCATTGTCTTGCAGCCTAAAATCAAACAAATGGATTCATATTGTAAAAATGCGATTAAGTTGTAGATAGTGGTGTATTACCTGTGAATATATACCATGTATTGTAGGACTAAACTTGTGCCAAGTATTTAAAGACTTAGGGCAAAAGTTTCCTAAGGGCTCACTTAAGGCTGATAAAAGTTGCACATATAGTGTATTTTTCACCTGTTTCTTTACTGATCCCAGTAGATTTGCTATTTGTTTTGGATTAGACACTATAAGCAGACCGGTTTTTGCTAACATTTTTGCACAAAATGATGACGAATTACAATAATTGTGTTGTTATAAAAACTATGTTATAACATTATCAATTAGCAAATACAGATTAGAAAATAATTTGATAGAATGAACTATGAACTAGATAATTTATTATATTATACGGGCTTTACACCAACAATAAATTCACGAAGAAATTCATGAATTTATTCATCAATTTCTGTGTCAATAAATTCGTGAATTTCTTGGACGTAAAAGTTTCTTTGACTTCAAATAAATTTTTACATCAAGTGTCATTATTTCAGTAGTACCAATTGTTTTATTATTGGATGTTATTTATTGTTGTTTATTTGAATAAATATATATTTGGATTTGGAAATATAATCAGAATCAGAAAACAATATCGTTTTAAAAAGAAAATAGTGATTAAGATTGTACAAAAAATTATGATGAATTTGGTAAAGAGTAAGAGCTTGAACAAGAGGTAAAAAGTGGAAATTAAATTATAATTAGTGAAAACTTTCATTTTTAGACATAGAAGATAATTTCAAATAACTTTAATAAGGACAACATAGCTAAAGAAACAGAAAAAGTGGTAATTTGATTTTTTATATGAAAGAACAAGAAAATCTAGCATTCATTACATACTAAAAATGAACTGTAGTTAGTATAAATGTTAATCAATTCATGGTGACTTTTAGAATGATGAAAGCCTTTATTTAAATACAATACCTGCCTCAACCAAGTGGAAGTAAAGAAGAGAGAAAGCTACAATACTTTTTATAATCTTTTAACCACTATTCATAATATATTCTCAAGAGATCTTTACCTAATATAAATAGCTATGTTTATTGTTAGAATATTGAGATGTGTACAATTCTAATCACAAAGAGATATTGTAATAAAATGAATACCTAAAATAAATAAAACATGGAAATAACCAGCAATACTTTACCACTAGTTTGAGAGCTGATTCTTTACAATTTTAATGATTTGTCTTTAACCGTTGATTGAATAATCCAAACGCTTTAACATATTACAATTTGCTTTATTGAATAGTAGGGTATAGGTTAGGACTAAACTAAACAGGTGTATAAAAATACAATAATTTTTAAATATTATATAATTTAAATAATAAATGAAGAATCATAATAACAGGAATAAAAGCTAGTTTTAATATTTGTTATACACAAACAACTATGATTTTTTTCTAAATAAAAACTGTACAGATTTTATCCCTAGGATATGGAATCCTGCACTTTTAAAGGAAGATAGTTAATTTAAGAAGAAAACTATGAATAATAAAGTATGAGAATAAGAAGAATGAATAAGAAAGAACAAAATTAGTAGCAAGCCAACGGCTTCATGTAGAAAAAGAGCACAACAGAAACATGTCAGAGAAATGGAATTGTTGAAGACATACATGGAAAAGAAATAGATTTATTAGGTTTAAAAATTAAGTTATACAAAGAAAAAGTTAATAAAAGATAAAAAAAGTTCTATGTATATTATTGATTCTTCTGAGGTTTTCCCATAACACAAAAATATTTTATAGGGTTCTCAAACACCTTCAACTTAAGGAAGTTCAATAACATCTTTATTTAGCAATTAATCTTCAAAATTGTCTCCACTTTGATTTTTTAATTAAATCATTTCAACTATACAGCCACTTTCATTGGCTAAAATTGGAAACTTTCTTCTTCCATACACATTCTATTAAATATCTGGAATTCATTGCACAAAATTTCGGGATGTTTTAGTGGGCAGCCTGAATGTGAATTTAAAATCTAATCAATAATATAGAATTATTCATAACTGGTTAAAAAAAATAGATGAGTGGACTCAACGCAAAGTTAATTTAAAAATCCTATCAATAATACAATATTATTCATACCTGGTTCAACAGGAAAATATATTCAGGGAGTATCAGAATTTAAAATGTCTAAATTCTTTTTTTTAAGTTGCTGTTTTTGAGAATCATGAGCGGAATGTGACAGCCTAGGTATATATCTCTCCATACTTTTCATTTTGCAATCTTATAATACTTGGCACTTCACAGAAAATCATCCTTTCCTGTTTCAGAAATCAATAGCATCCATATCTCGTGGAAAACGTTGATTAATCCATTTTTAAACTTTCGACTAGACCAAGTAAAAGATAGGAGTGAAGAAAAAGGTAGAATTTTATAATCTTTTATTAACAAATATTTACTATGTATTCTCAAAGCGTTAAATAAATAATATTTGAAAAAAACATGTAAGAAAGGGAAAAGTAAACAATATTTTAATAAAAACTAGAGTTTTCTGCCTCGAAATTTTATGTTTTTCCTAAAAAAAATACATAATATTATTTTTTGTTTTTTACTATAGAATAACTTACCTCTTTTCCATAACTATTACTTATTACTTGACACACGACTTTAAAATGCAAAGTTCAATTTGGTTCAATAATCAAAAACAAAATAATTATTATCCCTACTTCGCGCCAAATCTACACAGGTTGGTGATACTGAATTCACGTCCAATAAATGAGAAAAATAGAACATGTTCTATTTCGTCAATTTCTTCACGAAGTTATTCATGAATTTATTCACGGCAAAATTGGATGTCAAATTGTGCTTTACACAGGTCAAATTTGACCTTGAAGCGACTTCACGAATTTCTTCATGAATTTATTGTTGGTGTAAAGCCCGTAGAACATGTTCTATTTCGTCAATTTCTTCACGAAGTTATTCATGAATTTATTCACGGCAAAATTGGATGTCAAATTGTGCTTTACACAGGTCAAATTTGACCTTGAAGCGACTTCACGAATTTCTTCATGAATTTATTGTTGGTGTAAAGCCCGTATTATTGTAGTGTAGATTTTAGGTTATCTTCAGTGAAGAGGTTATCTATCCATCTATCAAAAACAGCATATCACCGATCAACAATAACAAGTGAGACTAAATAAAAAGAAGAATTGTTTAGTTTTGACAGATATGTTTTGACATTGGTCGCGTTCACCGATGCAAACGTTGGCAATCAGTTTCCGCTTTATGATAGCACAGAACACTATACTCTGTTTTTTAACCAGGAGGAGTAAACCAAAAAGACAGATTCACACTCAAGAAAGTTACTAGAAAAGTCACCAAATACATCTTCTTTTTTTGTTGATTATCTCGGCCTTGCGGTAATCGAGTAATCAATATGGGATACCCTCACACGTCAATTCTAACCAAAGACCATTTACACCATGGAGTAGATGGTCTTTGATTCTAACCTATTTATGTTTGAATAATAAAATAATTTTTTTTCAATTCACTTCCAATATATATTACAATTATTACAATAAAAAAATGACGGTTTTCACATTTGGTCCCATGTATATATATTTAAATATCGGGTGTCCAGTTTTATAGATCTCTTAAGTCTATGGTATTTAATTATAGTTTAGAGAATATTTTGATCGGGAGAGTCAATAATGTTACAGATCTAAGTATGATTTTTCTCAGAAATTTGTCTTTTAATAGTAGACCATATTCTTATTCTGGTATGATTAATTTCTTGAATCTAGTTTTTTTCTTACCAGATACTTTGTATAAATAAGTGTGTACTTACAATGTCTTTAATGCTGGATTCTTGTTTAGTTTTGACAGTGAGTTTGTCCCATTTGTTATCAACAAATAAAATTTATTAAAAATACTGGATTTCTGTGAGATAATCAACAAAATCCAATCTATTATGTTACATTCTTGCATAATTTTGCAGTTTTCTTGTGATGATCTACAACCAGGAAGAACAAACCAACTGTATCATACAATCAAACTAAAACACAACATTACTTTACTAATGTTCTTTTATTGTGATGAAAACAAAATGGAAATGCTTCTTAACAAGTATCAGAGCTCTTACATATCTCTGACAAGTATACACTAAATTTAAAAGATGGTTGCCGTTTTTCTTATGATAATAAGATATAAATAACATACATTTATAAATTTAAAATCACTTTAAACTATATTTAATATATATCATCTAGAAAAATATCACATTAAATACTATTCGCATATCACCAAGTCCAAGTTATTACAAATAATTTAAACAGTCAGAAATCGATTTATATATTAGAGGAAAATAATAACAAATAAATTTCACAAATGTCATTAGTGTCAATATGTCATAATTTAATGGAGTAAACCATAGAGAAATAACAAATAAGAGTAAACTTGCCTGCGGTTGGACTAATTGCAAACAAGCATTACGGTGCGGAAAATTTGAATTACTCCTCCTGGTTAAAAAACAGACCATAGATCTTTGAAAAACTATATTTTTTTGTTTTTAGAAATATGACAGGGGTAGAGTATGTTCTTTTACATGTTCAAGAACCGATTTTGTATGTAATTCGAAAGCAGCACAGAAAAAGTCCTCAGCAGATTATTCCCTTAGCAGATTATTATATTATTGCTGGTATTGTCTATCAGGCTCCTGATCTAGCAAGTGTTTTGAACTTCAGACTGGTAATATATTTTTTAAATAACACGATATGTCATTGTATGTTCCTACAGAAGTCGTCTACTATTTAGAAAACAAGTTTAATCAGATATTTTTCTTTCAGTTATCTGATGTACACTATCTGCAATCATCCTTTGAGGAATCTTCGGGTTTTGCCAAGTATCATCCCAGTAAAGGCTATTCTTGGGATTTTAAATCTCAGCGAGCAGCTGAAAAAGTAAAAAAAGATGAAAAGCCAAGGGAGGAACCTAATTCGTTATTTCAAAGACAAAGGGTTGATATGTTACTAGGAGAATTGATAAGAAAATTTCCCTTACCTGCTCCCCCTCAGCCTAAAATTGCACCAGTTCCACAAATTAAACAAGAACCTGACAATGGAGCTCCCGAGAATAAGGAGATCAAAAAGGAGGTAAAGCAGGGGAAAATCAAACCACCACCCGAGAAGAAACCAAGATTACATTGGATTGTTTTATGTATATCCTTCAGAACGATAAATTTTCAACATCCTGTGACCAAGGCACACAATTGGTATATTTTATTGGTTGATTTTTCTACTATTTGTTAGTTTTTGTATATTTTAGCTATTGCTCACTCTCATCTTCCCTTATTTTATCCCTCTATCATTTATATGGCATTAATTTGCTTTTTATGCAAGAATTATCATTTCAACTTTATTTTTTCCAATATAAGACATAATCATTTAAATATGTATGGTTTTTTCTATCTTACTGTTTTTATCACTTTCTTTGTATAGTAGAACTATCAAGCAAAAAGACAAAAG